TTTCACACATCCAATTGCCATCCCCGCTTCTTCCCTCGGGCCGTCCTGCTTCGCCTACGAAGGCAAACAAGAAGTTCGCCTCAACTGCAGGTTCAGCTGACTGTGGCAGCCCGGCATATTCCAACCCAGTCAGTGTTGGCGGGCCGCCGAGTTTAAATCACTCGGCGCGTAGAGGTTTTGCAGGTCTTCTGGCACTTGCGACTTGTCGACAGAGTTCTTCACGAACGCAGCCAGCTTCTCATATTGACGAAACAGCTCGCACCGGCCGCCTTCATGGACTTGTCTGCAGAATTGGCAGCGTCGTCGACAGTAGTGAGCCGAGTGCCCCATTCTTCCACAAGCTGCACAAGGTCCTCGTTGGGTGTTGTCGCGTGATCCATCTCCACGGTGGGACTGTTCTCGTTGGTTGTACGGTCGCGGAGGTCGGTTCGCTGAGTTTCCCCAGCTTCGGTTCGAGCCCTTCTGGTCTCCCGCCGAGTTCTCTCGGCGGTCCGGTGTATTTCTTTTATCATTGGAAACGCCGGCGTCAATGTAGTCTTCGTCTTCCGCTGAGTCGTATCCTCCGGACTGGTCCTCATCATCCCATTCATCTTCGGAGTTGTACGGACTCGGCGGATTCTGATCGATGAGTCCCTCTCCGTCGGAGTCAGCGTCAACGACAGTGACTCGGCTGTCGCGGTTTTCTTCCTTGCGACTTCGCTTCTCATCTCGGCGGCTCTGATCCTTCCGCTTGTCATCTCGACCTCGTGCGATCACGAGTCGGTCGCGTTGCTTCTTGCGCTTCTCGCCGAGGATCCGACGATTGATTATCTGTTCCACCTTACTGATGTCCTCCAACTGCAAGGGGTACATCAAATCCATCACATCGTCATCACCACAATGCAGCAAGAAGTGTTCGACATGGTCAGCTGCGTCGGCGCCACCCTTCTCATACTGGATCTTGGCCGTCCGAGCATACCCGTTGAGTCGGATCAGGAAGTCGCAGATCGGTTCGTTGACGTTACGTCTCGCCGAGTAGTAACGAGTGCGGGCGGATTGGTCGAACTGTGAGCAATAATAATCCAGGAACGTCTCGCTGAGTAGTTTCCAACGTCGCTGAGTCTTCTTCGGCAGCTGCCTGTACCAACTCTTCGCCGGGCGTCCCAAGCATAGCGAGAAAGGCTCGCACCATGCACTTTGGGGCATCCGGGTGCTCTTCATCTCGTAGATGAAACGCTTGAGCCACTGGAGCGACGCGTCAGAGCGGTAGCGCTTTCCTTCGAACTCGGCGATTTTGTCGAGCGAGGCGTGGGTTCGGACTTCGAGGTACTGCGTCGAGTCCACTTCAGTCGCGTCAAAGCTCAAGTTTCGGATGTAGTCCTTCACGGTTTCTTCACGGTTACCTCTCACGTTGAAGGCGTCGTCGTCTTCTTCATCCTCCTCGTAAGCCTCAGCCTCATCTGCAGCGTCATACAATTCACGGTAACGACCTACATTTCGCTGCCCACGACTCGGCGCTCGCTGAGTCGGGTTTAGCTTCAGTGGAGTCAGCATGTGAGAGTCTTCGAAGTACGGAGTCCCTTGCGTAGCGCGGAACACTTCACGTCTCTTCGTCTTCGGGGTCTTCGGCAAAGGGATCTTGCTTGGGTCTTCGCTGAGTGGTTTGAACTCGGCTACTCGGCTGTACACCTTCTTCGTTCCACCAGGGGCCTTCTCCAATCCAAACGCCACTCTCAGCTTCTTCTTCTTCTATTGCCCGATCTCAGCTCCGCCACGGGTCAGACTCCAGTCGGACAGGATGAGGCTGTTTGGTCGGCTGTTGCACCGATATCCCATCGCCTTCAACAGCAACACAGTTTCTTCCACCAACTGATTGATGTTGGCTGCACGCACCGGTTGAGTTAACGCAGGACCCAACATCGGCCACTTCGCCTGTGCCATCGCCACCGGCGCGAGCATCATCATCCATTCCGATCTCGTTCTCATCTCCTCGCCGAGTCGAGCCAACACTTTATTGGCGCTCGGCGTATCGGCGTTCCTCGTCGCTTTCGGAATAAGGGGCGGACGGTCCCCTTGAGCAACGCCATGTTCTTCTTCATCTTCTCTATCGTCCGCACCTTCGTCGAGTTTGGCAGATAAGTTGCGCTCGACAGGACGTGGGGCTCCCATGCGTCCCACCTGCAGCGTCAACTCCTCCACCTCGCCAAGTAGCTCGGCGGTAGTCTTCGTTTCTCCGAGCTCAGCGGTCTCGGCCTTCTCTTCATACTCTCTTTCACTTGCATCTCCGTTCTTGCTCAACTGGTCTTGGCCATCCTCGTCGAACTGGACGGCTCGTCCCACCTCCATCGTCATGGCGATGAGTCGTTGATCCGCCGGGTCCGACCCCGCGAGAGGCGATCCTCCAGCCGTCGCTGGGCTTCCGTCGCTCGGAGTTGCTGATCCCTTGACCATCTTCACTCTTCTCTTTCTCTTCTCTTCCTCTTAACTTGGTTAGCTGGCACCTATAAAAACAAGCACACACTCCTGTTCCCGGGTCGCGGCACCAGTTGTGGTGTAGTAGAACACACAAATACCGTCAGATGTGGATTCCTTACACAAACCACAACGAATCGCCGAGTTAGGTCGGCGGTTTGTATGGCCTGCGCAGAGGGTGGTCCCCTCGCGGTCCGGCCCTTCCGGGACAGACGAGTGGCTCGCTTCCACCCGGTTCCGACTAACCAAGTCAGATCACTTCCGAGGCTCCGCCGAGTTTGGTTCGGCTGAGCTCGTTCACAACCCTGTGCCCTCCACCAAAGGATGGACGACGGCGCGCGAGCGTTTTTTACAGGGTCACAGAGCGCAGACCCCGCTCAGCTAGAAAGTGTTACGGCACCGGGGGCTATGCCGACGTACCGCCTCGCTGGATATGGGGTATTTTCTTGTGGCGCGAAGGAGGTTTTTGTCCTACCCCGGACCGACCTTATCTTGTTGGGGACAACGAGTCACCCCCCGCAACAAGTGCTGCTTCTGGGGTGATGGGGGGGGGTATAATGCCACTCTTATCCAGTTATTATGCAGAGAGAAGAAAGATATGTTGAGAACATAGAAAAGTTCAGAGATGTGATCGTGTGGGGGACCCTTTTCCGCC